GTGGGGGGCAGGCGTGGAACTAGAACCCTTGCAACAAGCGCAAGCTGCCCCCCCCCTCCGTGAGGGACTCGCAGGATCGTCTGTGAGCTTGCGGGAAGTGACCTGGCACCAGAGCCACGAGTGGACAGCAACCCGTTCAGAGAGGCTGCTTTTTAAATATTTATCTGAGAGGCAGAGTTAGAGAGAGAGAGAGAGAGACCCAGAGAGAAGTCTTCCATCCGCTGGATCACTCCCCAAATGGCCACAAGGTTGGGGCTGGGCTGACCCGAAGCCAGGAGCTTCATCCGGGTCTTCCACGTGAGTGCGGGGACCCAGGGACTTGGGCCATCTTCCACGGCTTTTCCAGGTGCATCAGCAGGGAGCTGCATTGGAAGTGGAGCAGCCGGGACTGGAACCTGCTCCCATGTGGGATGAGGGTGCCGGGAGCCCCGCCCCCGGCACAGAGCCCTCTGTGCTGCTCTGCCAGTGTCCAGCGCCGGCTTGGAGGAGGTGACAGACAGGACAGAGCGCTGGGGTTGTCTTAGGAAAGGGATGGGGACCCCCCGAGGCCTCCTTCATGCTGCACCTGTGTCTATTGAAGCGCTTTGTGCTTCCTCCCTGCAGGCCAGGGGCATCAGGGCGCGGACCACGTGCGCCCAAGGAAGACCGCTTTAGTGGGGGCGGGGGGCTCCGTGCCGGGACTGTGCTGCAGGCCTTCTACCGCAGCGCCGGGAGGAAGGGGGCAGCGGCGGGTCATGGAACGTGTACTCGGGCCCAGGTCGTGCCCGTGTGTCCTGGCATGCTCAGGTCACTCTCACAGCCCCTGAGGTCCATCCCTCCGCACCCCCATATGACAGATAAGGGGACCAAGGCTTGGGGACTGCGTGGCACCCCTGCGATCCCTGCCTGTCCTCGTGGCCTGCCAGCCCTCCCGACCCTGGCACATGCTGGCGGGGAACGGTGAAAACCCCAGCATTCCTGTGACTGCCTGAGCAGGCGATGGGAGGTGGGAGGCGGGCCGCGCTTCCGGTGCCTGCTGCTCCGGGCTGGAGTGTCGGGGTGCAGGCTCCCAGGCCAGGACGCAGCCCTAGTCTTGTGTCTTCCTCCATTTCCCCGCCTTCGAGTCAGGGGTCACAGCGCACCTGTTGTGAGGACTGAGCGAGCATGCGCCGTCTCAGCAAAGCCCAGGACGCGCTGGCTTCCCTGAATCCAGTCCTGGTGGGTCAAGGCTCCCCTTCAGGTTCCTTCCCCACAGCTCAGGGAGGAGCCAAGGGCACCAGCTCCCCGCGCTGGAGTTGGAGGGGTTGCAGGGACCAGGCCACCCGGGTGATCTGGGCTCCGGAGCTCAGGGACCAGGCCACCCGGGTGATCCGGGCTCCAGAGTCAGGGACCAGGCCACCTGGGTGATCCGGGCTCCAGAGTCAGGGACCAGGCCACCCCAGTGACCGGGGCTCCAGAGCTCAGGGACCAGGCCACCCCAGTGACCCAGGCTCCAGAGCTCAGGGACCAGGCCACCCCAGTGACCCGTGCTCCAGAGTCAGGGACCAGGCCACCCCGGTGACCCGGGCTCCAGAGCTCAGGGACCAGGCCACCCGGGTGATCCGGGCTCCAGAGTCAGGGACCAGGCCACCCGGGTGATCCGGGCTCCAGAGTCAGGGACCAGGCCACCCGGGTGATCCGGGCTCCAGAGTCAGGGACCAGGCCACCCAGGTGATCCCGGCTCCAGAGTCAGGGACCAGGCACCCGGGTGATCCGGGCTCCAGAGTCAGGGACCAGGCCACCCCGGTGACCCGGACTCCGGACCTCAGGGAGCAGGCCACCCGGGTGATCCGGGCTCCGGAGCTCAGGGGCTGCCATTTCCTTCTGCTCAGCCCCGGTGACCCAGGATGACCCGAGAGTCATCCTGGGGGGGTGGGGGAGCTGCCGTAGCGCAGACCGCGTCCTGCAGTGCCTCCCTGGGCGCAGCCCTGAGTCCTGGTCTGAACCTTCTCATCCCGGTGACAGCATCCCACGGCCGGGGGGCGTGTCCCGGGGCTGCTGTCAGCTTGCCATCGTCGGCACTGTCACTCAGCCCTGCTGGGGCTTTCTGGAATCAGCCCTCCCTCTGTTTCTGCAAGTTCAGAAAGTCAGAGCGCTCGGCTTAGCCTTCCCCCACTCTGGTTCTTTCCATCAAACCCAAGCCTGTCCCTGCCTGGGGGTGGGCAGTGCTTCTCCTTGGAGGGCAGGTTGGTGGGGTTGAGTCTGAGCATTCCCAAATATCACAAGGAGAGCGGGACAAGGAGCCAATCAGAGGGAACACTCCTGGCCGGCCAGCCAGAGTCACGGCTGAGAGCAGCACTCGGGCCCAAATCTGCCGCGTGGTGCCCTGGCTCCCGCACCTGTTAAGCTAGGTGCGTATCCTCTTCACACCTCACTGTTTGCCACGTGCGATATTTGAGTCCTAATGCCCTTTCTGGTAAGTGTGCTGGTGCTGATGCACGCGGCAAACAGCACCGTTCACGCCAGCTGGACCCGCGTGTCTACCACAGAACGAGTGGGTCACTCTCAATGTGTCGCCTGCTTCCCTCATTGCCAAGCCTTCACCCAGCCTGCCGCAAGCGTGGGCCTTCAGAATTGCCGGAACGAAGGCGGTGCCGACCTGCTTGGGGCACACAGAGAAGGCCGGGGGTGGGCGTGCACATTGGCGCGGTCATCACGGTGACCTGGCCGGGCTCCAGTGGGCTCCAGCAGACCTGGGCGCTGCTCTTTTCAGCCAGCAGGGGGCGCGCAGCGGGCTGCCCTACCCGTCCTGACAGGGCGCGGCTGTAGGCAGCGACTCAGCTTCACCAGCAGGGGGCGCCCCAGCCTGTCCTGGTCCTTGAAGAACCGCAGTGGCCCGGGGCACGTTCGCCTGCACGTGGTCTGAGGTTGTGGGTTCCCTTCTCAAAACCTCAGCTCGTGGGGGGGCCTGAGGCCTAGCTCTTCCAAGCCTCCTGCCGGAACCCACACTTCCCCTCTGGCTCATGGAGACTGAATCCCACAGCTTGATCAGACACAGCAGGAACCTGTTGTCTGGCTGGCTGCCTTGGTCCCTGGACTCCCGCCCCTGGGACCAGAGAACAATCAGGAGCACTCCGCGTGCCGGGCACTGCACCAAGCGCTTCCTGGACCCTGACCCAGCAGGGAGGCTGGGATCCCCGCGGCACGGAAGGGGAGTCCCAGGGTGCCCTGCGCTCTGGCTGGACCCCTTCCACTCCCGCAGGCCCTGGCTCCTCCCTGACCCATGTGGGCATGGGAGCGGGAGCAGAAGGGGCGGACATCAAGCGTCTCCCTTGCCTGGCACCCTTGGGGGTAGCTGTGCCCTGGCAGCGCGGGTGCGTCCAGCAGGCTCACTGGGGGTTCTCTGGCCACCCCTTTGCTGGGAGAGGTCCACGCCACAGCTCCCTGCCAAGCGGTGCCTCCTCCTTTTGGCCCCCTGGGATAGCTGCTCAAGGACCTCCTCCACACCTGGCCCCTCGCTGGGCCCCCGGGGAAGCCGGCAGGTGGCTGTGCCCTGTCGTGGCCCCTGCAGCACTGGCCAGGTCATCATGTCACCTGCAGGCTTTTCCAGGCCTGGAACATGCCCAGCCCCTCTGCCCCCCAGCATCGGGTACAGGCAGATCAAGCTCCGCAGGTGGTCGGTCTCCTTGAAGCCCCTCTCGCCCGGCCTGCACCCCTCGAAGCACACCCCAACCAGCTGCATCTAGAGAGAGCTCTCTCCACCTCGCAGCGGCCAGGGCGGGAGCGAGCGGGTACTCCGAAGGGTTGCACAGCCGGTTCTTTAGCACTGCGGTGGTAAGCCTTGCTCAGGGGGTCGGGCACAACAGTGCCCCCTGCTGGAACTGAGTTAGAAGAGTCTGCATTCAAACAGCAACCCTTGCACGCCCTTGGCTTGGAGAAAATTTCAGATTGAGAGGAAAGTTACAAACCCCCCTGTGGAGCCTTTGTCCAGACTCGCCCCGCCCTCCTCCTTCCTGAGGCTCCCTCCTCACCCTCCCGCAGCCTGCAAGAGTTCGTGACTTTTCACTCCTCCACTCTTGAGAGCTGCTCCCCCCAAAGCAAGCGTGTTCTCTTCACCACCGCAGACCTTATAAGCACAGCTGGGACATCAGCGTCGGTAACCATGGCACTAGCATCTCCACGTGTTTGTCCCGTTAATGTCCTGTATAGCAAAAAAAAGAAAAAAGAAAGAAAAAGAAAAACAAGGCTGAGCAGCCAGGCCCCAGGTACGACTCATCACATTTGGTTGTTGCAGCTCTCTATCTTTTTAAAAAGATTTATTTATATGAAAGGCAGAGTGGGGAGGGGGGAGAGAGAGAGAGAGAGGGGTCTTGTATCTGCTCATTGACTTCCCAAATGGCTCTAATGGCCAGCGCTGGGCCAGGCAGATGCCTGGAGCCTGGCACTCGACCTAGGTCGCCCACGTGAGTGCAGGGGCCCCGGCTTCCCCAGGCTCATTAGCAGGGAGCTAGATTGGAAGTAGCGCGCCTGGGACTTGAACCCATGCTCATTCAGGAGGCTGGAGACACAGGCGGCGGCTTAACCGGCTGCACCGCCACACCAGCCCCCGGGGCAGCATCCCTTTAGTCTCCTTTGACCTGTCCCTTTAGTCTCTGCGGTTCACTTGTGAAGGGCGTGGGTGCTCATTTGTAGAATGACCCTCGGTGGGGGCCTCCTGTCTCCTCTTCCCTGCAGTCATCGCATGCGCATTTGGCAGAGCGTGCACGGAGGGGAGGCCACGTTCTCCGTGCGTCCTATCAGGAGGTCCCTGAGCGTTTCCCCATTGCTGCTCAGGGCAGCCGTGATCAGCTTGTGGCGGTGGCGTCTGCCAGGCTTCTTAGCCACGGAACTCTCCTTTCATCTCAAGTCAAATGGTGTCTCGTGGGGGGATACACGGAGAGACCATGCTAACACTGCTTCTCGTCAAAGAGCTCATCATTAATTTTAGTGTTCATTGATTACTTCTGCCTGGAATAATTACCACGAGAATTGCTGCATTGTCTTTCTAGTTCTGCATTCCTTGTACGTTTATTTGGTGGCATCTTATCAAAGAGAATTTCCCTCTGCATTCATTTAACATGGCCTGTTGACATCTGTGGCTATTTATCCTGATGCTGGAATCAGCTAGAATCTGATCAACGGGAGCCCTTCCAACTGGCTTCTGAATCCTTTTGCAAAAGTAGGTTCTTTTCTAAAGAATCTATTTTTAAATTTGCTTTGACAGGTCTGGAGACAGAGGGAAAGAAATACAGGCAGAGAGCTCCCACTCGCTGGTTTGCTCCCCAAATTCCTGCAGCAGCTGGGGCTGGGCCAGGCCAAGGCTGGGAGCCAAGACCTCCACCTGAGTTTTGCACGTGGGTGGAAGGAATCCAACTGCTTGAGCCATCACCTGCTGCGTCCCAGGGTGCACAGTGGCAGGAAGCTGGAATAGGAGAAGAGCTGGGACTGGAACCCAGGCCCTTGGATGTAGGATGTGGGCATCCCAAGCAGTGCCCTAACCACTGTGCCTAAACCGGCACCTCACAATAGGTTCTTAGAGACACTTTGTAAAAGCCGTAACATTACTATGTTCCATGTTACAATGTGACATTACTTGTTACAGTGTTGCCATGTAACATGTTGCCATTGTAGCCATTTGTTAATGCTGCCTTTGGTACAGTTCAGCTGTGCTGAGGACATTCACGCTGCCGTGGTCTGGTCATCACTCATCCGCGGGGCTTTTTCTGTCTCGGGAAAACAGAACTCCGCACCTGGAAACAGGAGCCCCGCCTCCACATCCCAGCAGGTGTCCCGGGTCAGGGCCCCACAGTCTTTGAGCATTTCCTGACTTTCTCATCACGGCCGAACGCTCGGGGCTCCTACTCTACTGTCCCTGCCCCCGCAGAGGCCGAAAGCAAGACCCCGGCTCTAGGAATGCTCATGGCAGAGCCAGGATTCCCCCCCACCCACACTGGGGATCAGTCTCACTTTCTGGTCTACTCCTGGGTGTTTCTTTTTGCAGGAATTAATAAATCCATGTAGGTTTTCCTAATCATCCCCTTCTTCATACTCAAAAGCATAGTCTGACCACTCTCTGGCATTTTGCTTTTTTCCACTTAACATCTTGAAGTCACCCCTCCCGTCATCGCACAGAGCTCGCCCCACCTTTTTCACAGCTGCATAATACTCCACAGTAAGCTTATCCTGCCATTTCACACTTACACACACACACACACACACACACAGTTTCCAATATTTTAGGATTTCATGTAAGGCTGTAACAACTCATTCAACCATGCCCCAGTATTTTCGTGTTGTTGAGGTGGGCCCTTGGGGCAGGTGTAGAGAAGCAGGTGGCTGGGTCAGAGGCAAGTACTTGTGCTGCTCACCAGCTGGCGCCAAGCCTCCTTCCCAAGGCCTGAGCTGGCTTCCCTGGCAGGAAGCAGCAGGTACCTGTTTCCCCAAAGCCTCGACATCCCGACAGCAAGCAAACGGCATCTCTCGGGAGCCTCGCTGTGCTGTTCTCTGGCTCCGAGGGAGCTGGGCACGTGTTCCAACACTCAGGGGCCATTTCAACAATCTCTGTGTGCGTGTGGAAGTGCGGATTGTCCGTTCATGAGTAAGAGAAGCCGTGTTTCCATCAGATTGCTGGTGTCTTGCTACCTAAGTTTTTGAAGGCTGTTCTTGTATGAGGGATATTATTCCTGTCTGCGAGATCTGTGGCAAATATTTTCTCCAGATGTTTGGTTTGCTTTGACTTTGTAATTTCTGCTTCCTGCTGGTTGTTATGCAGTGGATGACCCAGCACTTGCTGGATGGGGTTTGGATCTGAGTGAGGGAGAAACCGTTTCTGCACACCCGGGGTACAGAGGCGCCCACCCACGCTCCCCGGCAGTACTTGGGCATGCGCTTTTTCACAGGATCCGTTCAGGGATTTTTCCTGTGCTCCGGATGCAATGTGGGTCCAGAATTATCATCTCCGGATGCTCCCATGTTAGCAAGCCCCTCTCTGTCCCAGCGGCGTGAGATGCCACCTTTATCGGACACCAAGTTTCCCTGTGCACTGGGGCTATTTCTGGAGCCACTTCTTCTTTGAAAGATTTGTTTAGTTATTTGAAAGGCAGAGTTACAGGGAGAGAGGGAGAGACACACACGCAGAGGTCTTCCATCTGCTGGTTCACTCCCCAAATGGCCACAACATCTGGGACTGGGCCAAGCCTAAGCCAGGAGCCAGGAGCCAGGAGCCAGGAGCCAGGAGCTTCATCTGGGTCTCCCACATGGTTTTTGCAGGGGCCCAAGGACTTGTGCCATCCTCTGCTGCTTTCCCAGGTGCATTGGTGGCAACTTAACCTGTCTCACCACACGCCAGCCCCTGGAGTCTCTTCTATTCCACCAGTCTGTCTACTCACGCCACGTCCCCCATTAAACAAATGACTGTGGACCAGAAAAGAGAAGCACCCCCCCAACACACACACGTGTGCACAGGCACATACACATATGCACACATACGCACACGCAAAAGTTACTGTATCCTATGCACACGTCATCTGTGCACAGAACACAGGGCACTTAACAGGGGCTGCTGGGGGAAGAGAACTGGCTGCCTGGCTGGCTTTGGGTCGGGGACTCCCCACCAATCCTTTGAGAGCTTTCCAAGTGTATTCAGGGTCTGGGTGTTTCCTCAAACAGTAGCTCAACTCTTCAAAAGCTAATTGTTTGCAGGGTGGGATTTGGCCTGGCAGTTAAGCTACCAGCTGGGATGCTCACATCCGTGTGTGGAGGGCCCAGGTTCAAGTCCCAGCGAGTGCACACCCTGGGAGGCAGCGGTGATGGCTCATGGAGCTGTGCCCTTGACACTCATGGGGGGGCCTGGATGGAGCTCTCTGGCTTCTGGCTTTGGCCTGCTCCAGCCACAGCTACTGTGGGCATTTGGGGAGTGAACCAGCAGAGGGGCGATCTCTCTCCAAATAAAAACTTTTTTTTTTTTTTTGACAGGCAGAGTGGACAGTGAGAGAGAGAGACAGAGAGAAAGGTCTTCCTTTGCCGTTGGTTCACCCTCCAATGGCCGCCGCGGCTGGCGCGCTGCGGCCGGCGCACCGCGCTGATCCGATGGCAGGAGCCAGGAGCCAGGTGCTCTTCCTGGTCTCCCATGGGGTGCAGGGCCCAAGCACCTGGGCCATCCTCCACTGCACTCCCTGGCCACAGCAGAGAGCTGGCCTGGAAGAGGGGCAACCGGGACAGAATCCGGCGCCCCAACCGGGACTAGAACCCGGTGTGCCGGCGCCGCTAGGCGGAGGATTAGCCTAGTGAGCTGCGGCGCCGGCCCAAATAAAAACTTTTTAAAAAAGAGAAAGTCTTTAGCTGGTGATAGTGAATCCACAAGTTCCTTCGGTTGCCTATTGTGCTGTTGTGTTTTGGAGTCTCTCATAAGTATTTCTTAGGGCAGCAGAATGAGCTGGTGGGGTAAGTGAGGGAGGGGTCGTGATGACCTGAGACCCAGATCCTGCAGCTACGGTTTGCACACTACTGCCCTCTACTGGCAATCAGGTGACTTGCTGGGAGGACTCGGTCTCACCCAGCTGCCATGGGTGGCAGCTA